AAAGTACGTGCGCTTCGAACATTATACGCAATTTGCAACTTTTAATTTTTCAAATAAATAAGGATGAAACAAAAAATACTGATTCTTTCATTGGTTATTTGCCTAATAAAAATAACAATTTGGAGAGATACCTTGTTAAGTTATATTTGTAACTTCTTTACAAGTTTGTAAAGAACTACAATTATGATATATTAATTCTATATATTTCATTAAATCATTTGCGTGCTGGTCCTGCAGTGTGAGATACTTGTAAGTAGAAAGGGACTTTTAACCTTCAAATGATATGAACTGAAGAAGATTTGGTTACTGTTAAACGAGTCAAAAATTATCAAAAATTATTAAAAAGCGTTCATTGTACTCACCGGCGCTTCCGAAATGAATATCGAGTACAGTGGCAGTATGTCACTTTGTGTGTTCATAAATATTTAAATGTTACTAACCAGCACCTCATAGATGATCAAATATTTTTACGCTAGTGGTGTTTTAATGATTGAGGATTTGTTGTCTTTTCACTTATGCCCTCAATAGCGATAACAAAGATACGATATTTGTTAATATTGCTGCTGATGAAGTAACGCAGGATGATGAAATACCAAGAATACTCATTGAAAACCTGGCTAGCTAAAGATTACTGGGTAAATCTGCCCGCAATAATTAAGCATTCAGAAACCAAGTAGCAGGAGCATCAAGATATTAAATGCAACTGAATGCCCCAAAAAATTACAGAATTTTATTTTTCCTTTCAAAATAAAGGAATCGAGTAACTTATAATCTTCGAATATTGAATTCTACACATCAATCAAAGGATGACACAGGTGCTCAGGGTTAAACAATGATTTTGTCTGCAACACTTAGATAATCAAAGGGTACCATCTCAGTCAGACCAGGATTCAGAGATGAGCGAGTTTGAAGATATATGTGGAAAGCTGTTAATATATTGAGAACCGTTTTATCTAAGTTGGATGGCAGTCGCAAAGAGTGTGTGGCATGTCATAGCCACTCGCGATCAGATGCAGAAGCATAACCAAGAGTCTTCAGTTCGGGTGTGTCAATTAAAACTATTAAGCCTGGCACCAGTGTCGAAACTCACAGGAGTATTATTTATATGTGATAATTACATTTGAAATAATCTCAGAGATTGAAATTTAAGTAATTCCAGCGTTTCGTCCAGCTAACTTGTCTGGACGAGTTTCAGAAGGTCTATATTTTCGAAACGGTTCAAGGAAGCTATGCGAGACAAGGCGTCTGCAACTACATTGTTTGCTCCAGAAATGTGTTGAATGTCTGAAGAAAACTGCGAAATGTAGTCCAGTTGTCGAGACTCACGGAGAGAGTACTTGTCTGAAGAAGAGCTTAGAGAGGTGAGCAGTTTATGGTCAGTGAAAAGAGTGAATTCACGGCCTTTGATGTAGTGTTGAAAATGCCGTACAGCACAATACATAGCTAGGAGTTTCGTACCGAATGTTCTGTACCTCGATTTGGTGTCTAGCAACCGTCTAGAGAAAAATGCCAATGGTTACCAGGAGTTGTCAACCCATTGTTGTAAGACTCCTCCGATTTCTGAGTCGGATGCATCTACTGCGATGCTAATGGGTGCTTGAGTGTCCTGATGTGCAAGCATTGTTGCTTTCGCAATAAGTTCCCTAATTGTGGAGAACAGGCGAAGCACCTCGTCTAATAATATATATTACCTCTCATGCAACTTTGACACCAAAATTGATTATCTCATAAAGAATCATGTACAACTACCCAACAAAAATTCTAATTATTGTAATACTGACAAGAAAAGAAAAAAATAGGAACAAAGGATATGTAGAATTATGGTCTACTATGGTATTAGTACTGCTCTTATAATAGACCTAATCCTAAATTTGTAGATTTGTCATGATATAACTGCCTAACCTATAAGATCTTACGTGGAAGTCACACCATCGACTACACCAACTCACTGTATCGTATCAACAGATATGTAGGCTAACTAAGGAAGAAAGTTGGAGACATCAGAAACATGAGTTTCCAACTCATATTGAAGATCATAATGAAGGTTGAAAACTTCCAGTTACCTGATACCACAGACGACAAAGTTATGGTCCAATGTACGACAGTATTCGGAAGTGACATAAAATACAAACAGAAGGGGGAGTGGAGATAAACTTTAGCAACCATTGTGTGGAGCATTCGATTGGGCAAATATATTGTACTCTCACAGAACGACCAGTGAAAAGCAAGGAAGGCAAGGTAATCACCAACATTGAAGAGCAACAAAACAGGTGGGTAGAACACTTCAAAGAACTGTTGAATCGACCAGCTCCACTGAACCCACCCGACATCGAAGCAGCACCCACGGACCTCCCAATCAATGTTGGCCCACCAACAATTGAAGAAATCAGCATGGCCATCAGACAAATCAAGAGTGGCAAAGCAGCAGGACCGGACAACATCCCAGCAGAGGCACTAAAAGCAGACGTAGCGGCAACTGCACGGATACTCCACATTCTCTTCAATAAGATTTGGGATGAGGAACAAGTACCAACAGACTGGAAAGAAGGACTACTGATCAAAATACCAAAGAAAGGCGATCTCAGCAAGTGTGATAACTACAGGGGCATCACTCTTCTCTCAATACCGGGCAAAGTCTTCAACAGCGTATTGTTAAACAGGATGAAGGACTGCGTAGACGCCCAACTTCGTGACCAACAGGCAGGATTCCGTAAGGATAGATCGTGTACAGACCAAATCGCAACTCTACGGATAATTGTGGAACAATCAATTGAATGGAATTCATCACTCTACATCAACTTCATTGACTACGAAAAGGCATTTGATAGCGTGGACAGGACAACACTATGGAAACTTCTTCGACACTACGGCGTGCCTCAGAAGATAGTCAATATCATACAGAACTCATATGATGGATTACACTGCAAAATCGTGCATGGAGGACAGTTGACAAAGTCGTTCGAAGTGAAGACCGGTGTTAGGCAAGGTTGCTTACTCTCACCCTTTCTCTTTCTCCTGGTGATCGACTGGATCATGAAAACGTCAACGTCCGAAGGAAAGCGCGGGATACAATGGACATCTAAGATGCAGTTGGATGATCTAGACTTCGCAGACGATCTGGCCCTTCTATCCCAAACGCAACAACAGATGCAGGAGAAGACAAACAGTGTGGCAGCAGCCTCAGCAGCAATAGGTCTCAATATACACAAAGGGAAAACAGGATTCTCCGATACAACACAGAATGCACCAATTCAATCAAAATTGACGGAGAAGATTTGGAAAATGTAAAAACCTTTACGTATTTGGGCAGCATCATTGATGAACAGGGTGGATCTGATGCAGATGTGAAGGCGCGGATCGGCAAAGCAAGAGCAGCATATTTACAACTGAGGAACATCTGGAACTCAAAGCAACTGTCAACCAACACCAAGGTCAGGATTTTCAATACAAATGTCAAGACAGTTCTACTGTATGGGGCAGAAACCTGGAGAACTACAAAAGCCATCATCCAGAAAATACAGGTGTTTATTAACAATTGTCTACGCAAAATACTTCAGATCCATTGGCCGGACACTATTAGCAACAGCGCACTGTGGGAGAGAACAAACCAGATCCCAGTGGAGCAAGAAATCAGGAAGAAGCGCTGGAAGTGGATAGGACACACATTGAGAAAAGCACCCAACTGTGTCACAAGACAAGCCCTCACATGGAATCCTGAAGGTCAAAGGAAAAGAGGAAGACTAAAGAACACATTACGCCGGGAAATGGAGATAGACATGAGAAAAATGAACAAGAATTGGATGGAACTAGAAAAGAAGGCCCAGGATAGAGTGGGTTGGAGAATGCTGGTCAGCGGCCTATGCTCCATTGGGAGTAACAGGCGTAAGTAAGTAAGTAAGTAACTCCCTTTGATTCTTATCAACGATCTTCTAAGTATAATGATCTCAGCCGCTCTAGTCTGGTTTGATAACGTGAATATATGGAGGTTCGTAAGAAACGAAGAGGATTTGCTAATGCCCCACAAGGACATCACAAAATAAGGAAACGGTTGGTGGAAAATGTCATATCATGTTAATTTTGCCCATGGAGCACCAACAACTTTATTCCCTTGAGGAAATCCCTTCAGAGTTATCTCCACAGAGCGTTATAAAAGGTTATTAACCACGGAAAAATTAGAAACCAGCTCAAACTTCATTGAAGATGTAGCAAAAACAAACCCAACTGTTATCTATGTACAGAAATGGTTTGTTGCTTACGCCTCAGAGTCATCCACAAAACTCTTTAGAGCATGCACACTGTCTCACTTCGACGTTCATCGTTTTCTTTCCGTTACACTCATCATCGCGCTCCATGACGCAAAGAGAGAAAACCTTAGTTGCCCTATATCTAACTCCAGTTAAGTCATATGCTGATTGTTATCGGATTATTTATGCCTCCAACCCTCGTATATGATTACTAACTGAATTCGCATTAAAGAATGACGGAATAAAATAAGCCAATAACAAGAATGAATTTTGAATATCTATATTTCATACACTCATTTATCCGGACGGACAATCAAAGAAACGAAGTGAAGGCGAAGCAGAACCAAAAAAGGTGACACGCTGCATAGATATAGGGTGAGCCAACTCGATTCAATCAAGTGTTACTCGATATTTAGAGTAAGAGATAAAGCAATTACATATACGCAATGAACAGGGAAAGCAGTTAACACAAGACTATATAGAAAGTCAGTTAATGAGCGAATAAGGGACAAGTCTAAAGTGTGGCTCGAAAAGAATGAACAAACTGATCTGTTCAGAAGCTAGAAGTCGTCTAAGCATAGTACTAGCCACTACAAACTGAGGTATGATTCCATTTTCTCACGTTCAGTCACCTATAAGCACTGTCTACCCAGCAACGCCATATTAAAGAATATCATATTTTTACACGAAGATATTTAAAACTGTTTGAATTCAACTTTTTGCTCAATATACATGTTGCCCAAATGGAGTTTTTTAAATAACCTACTTAGTATTACTCTCAAGGTTCCTGCCACATTCGAAAATTTGCTAAGTCGTCTTATGTCTTATGTCTGAAGGGTCGTCTATCTTGTCCTCTGGACCTAAAAGACAATACGGGACTCTAGAATCTACGAATGCTTCACAAAATCCTCATATAATCTATAACGTCAAACCTGGAGATACTCTTGTGTCAATCGCAGTACAATTTGGAACAACAGTAAGAAACGTATTTCGCTTACTTATGTTCTAAGGTACAAAGATTGCGATGGATCAATCGTTTGTGGGGATCAGACATCTCTAACATAGCTACATTAAGAGTCCCTGTCAAGTCTGAGCCTAGGCGGTTTGTACACCACAATTCAATTGAGTTGTCTACAGTCAAAAAGAAATCTGAGCCTGGTAATGAAGACGCTCCACAAATAGCTTCTGCTAGCATTTATTTTAAAGAATTGTCAGAAAGGGTTGAAAAGGCCAAGGAAGCTGCCTCTCGCTGCTTAGAAAAGAGCAGGTACAGTTAAAGGATTTACTTTTAACTTTTACTTTATCATCACTTATTATACATTTATACGAGGTACAATGCCTGTCTTACTACTTACCTAAGTATCTTCTCGCCTACATACCACCCTTGAACATTTTTAGGAGGTATGGGAGTGTTAAATCTTCAACATGCCTTCAGTTCTTCGTCAATAAATATCGATTTGAAGTAGCTCCTAACAAATTTCCAAATTTCTACTAGCAGTTCATTCCATATTAACTTTTGTGTAATCATATATCCGAAATAATGTCATTATCTTGCGTGATATTTAATTCTAGTATTCAGATCGTTCTGCACGTATTTAGATGGGCATTCAAATACATTGAACAAAACCTTCGACTCTACTCACAGATTCAGGATTAGTTGCTTTTGAATTGAAAAACCAAATAGTACCATTAACATTTTAGCTAATTTTGTCGAGATTCATGCGCAGAGTTGGTGATTTTTCAAGATTTATAGAGTATATTATGCATCTGTTGGCACCAACTAAACAAGTTATTGTTTTTTTAAATCTTGATTATAGACTACCTGAAATCATAGCTGACTGTGATCCCAGTAAACGCGATTGTTTTCCCGTTCCAAGTTTGTCGGTATCTGATGAAACAGTGGTCATGGTAACAGCACCTTCAACTTCCAAACTTAACTCAATTACTGATTCTCGAAAAAGATTTTGTTCAATCCCTACAAACAGCATTCACGATCCATGCTGATTCGTATGTTAGAGTAGATGATCTCGTGTAAAAGTGCATTACATTTTTTATAATATTGCAATAACTATGTTACTTTTGTCCGTCTGGACTGTGATAGTTCGTTCTGTTTGTCCTTTTTCGTTCGTTTACTTACAATTTATTTCGTATTGTATATTTGTAGGGTCTTGATTTTTAGTATTCATTTTAATTTATTTTTAATCTTAAAATACTAAAGATTCTCCTAGTGTAAATCACACATGGTATATAACTTAATTTGTATCCCGTATTTCATTTCTCTTTAGTCTACATCCAACAAACTTTTTGAACGACCATTACCATAAACACCGTTTTACCAAAGATGTCAAAAAGTATTCTGTATTTGCTAATCAAATATATATAAATGTGCATCTCTGTTTTTCAACTTATTTATCGAAAAGTTCTGTATGCAAATTAAGTTATATATATATATATATATATTTATTTATTTATCTTTTGTAAAATATTCGTTCAATATTCTTTTTTATTTGAGCGGTATCTCTGGTTGAGATGTTCAAGTTTCAGCCATTAGTTCGCAGATTTAAACCCTCATCCACTTGTTTTAGTTTGGGCAGCTGGATAGCATCAATAGTCTTCACACTTAGAGTGTTATTAAGAGCCAAGTTCGATCATCTGTACTTGGTGTTGGGTTGTAAAAATAAAAACTAAGTCGTTAAAGTACGAAAGCCTACCATTTTACTTGACTCTTGCCAAGTAAAGCAGTTTTATTTCCTTAACTACAAGATTTTTGATTCATTTTTATCCCATTCCTACTCAGTAAACTACACTTGTCCTTTTCAAATTTGATTTGCAAAGATGACCAATTAAACTGATTTACTGTCTCAGATAGTTCTTTGATAAAATTAGTGTTTGTCCGCATCTAGTTAATCTAGTTAAGAATGTTATGGAAGTGTGTAACTGTCCAATATCGAAGTACAAGAAACACGTTGTGATAATAGATTTATGTTCAACTAGTTACTAAAATATCAGAAGAATAAAAATTAAGAAACATGACCAACAAGGTAGACAATCTATCTGAACAATTGGCAACTTATGGGATTGAGAATTATGTTGAATGTTTGTGTAAATTGGATTCATTATACAAGTGATATAACATTAAATTAACATTTGTTTCATCAAACGTCCTTTCGTGTGAGATTTAAGATGCTACAATTAGGAAGACTGTATTTTTACATGGTGATGGAAATCTCAGTTTTCTATCGAGGATTTTCGTGGGAGTAAATGAGAGAGTATGGTGTCCAAAGTAGTCTTTATGTCGAATAAAGTTTTCGTCTCTTTGTTGACTTTCACTGTTGATAGCGTCATATTCCATATTTAGATAGACAGTAGTTTTTCGGAAACAGATAAAATTCCCGGCTTTTAGTAATTTTCTGTCCAAAAGTTTCACTTAACCTGGTGCTTTAATTCATCTTTGCTGTTTCTCGCTAACATTTATGAATTGCTGTAGCTTGTTTGTTTGCCTAATAATATTGTAGTGAACAAGAACATGAGTGGGAACAATCGAATGCATTTGACACGAAAATACAGAGAATCTCACTAAAATCTGAGAACCATATAGTAAATAGTTAATTTTCAAAATATCAATCCATCGTTTCAAACTTGACTGTTCCTTTTGCAAATATCAGTCCATTGTATTAGATTTCATTGTTCATGCATTTTCATACCAACTGTGTTCCGTTCCCGTTCTTTCCTTATCGATCTTCTACTGAAATACATTCTATGCATGACCACTGTTATATACTACTTTTGTGGATAAACGTAACCCACACCACAATATGATCGAGTGAATTTTCAGGATAATTAAAACAAATTTTCACTGACAATTTGAGTAAACAAAACACTCGGCCCATAGAATCTTTGGGGAAAACAAATGATCTATGATTGGGAATAATTCGCACTTAGAAAAACACAATTTATATACGTTTTTAACTGGTCCAAGTTTACGACAGAAAGACAATTTTTCCGCGGAAAAATAAATTGCACACCAAAATTACTCTGAATACACAGTAGTGTGAATAAAAATTTGTGGGAGGAACACCACCTTATCGCCCAAAAAGCTTAAAATGTTAATTTATGGTTCATTTCATTTCCAATACGCAAGCCCTTACGCTTTTAGCCAAAATATCCAACAATATAACTGAACTTTTCTACCTCTTTGTACTTCGGTCGATCATCCACTTCTAATAATAATACCTGAACCATGGGTCTACATAAAAATTTCTTCACATGATGCTTAACGAAAACAAGACTGATGCTTAAGATTAAGATGTTACTGTTGGTCGTTAGCAAAAGCCTAAGGTAATTTGAATAGTTGGAGGAAATATTATTTGATAATTAGCTTTCTCATGAAACTGCAGCAGTTTTGCAAGACACTCATATTGGAGTTACAGTGGATCTATTCCTGACATTTGTTTCCAGTAAATATTACATCAGATATGAATTTGTTGTGCTCATTTTACTGACCTATCAGTGATGCATGGTTTCTATTCAATTTTAAATAAATTGAATATCGATCAAGCTGTTTACTGAGTAACCGTACACTTTATACCGGTACTATAAACTTGCTTAAAATGGTTGGTAAGATTTAAGCAACTTTAGGAACCGTTGTGAGCCCATTCCTAAAGGTAGAACAATTGAATACCCACTGAGATCTAATGTTGATCAGTATTACTGTCAATTTCTTATATATTTAGTTACATATTCCATATATTATGTCTAAAAATCAATTAAATACCAATAAACTTGTTAGGTATAACATATTTGTTGATTAATTAGTTAACCTCGTTTTTCTAGCATTACAAATTATAACTCCAATTTCACTTTCAATAACCTTTTCAACTTGATCTCAATGAATCATCAAGATTATATTTGAACTTTGCATTTGTAACCGATCTTAGAATTGACTTGATCTTTCAAAAATGATGTAGATTTAAAAATTTGACCGTTTTGTAGTCCATTGTAAGCTGAATATGAAAAATGAGGTTTCCGGTTATATTATCCTGTTGTTTGGTTATTAATCTATTCAACTGATGAAAATAAGGATTGTATCATTCAAATAAGGCTTTTATACCTTTACATTATTTCAGTTTTGGTAGTTTTCTAAAGAAAAGGTTTTTTCAACTCAGCCGCATAGGTAGGTGTGATAAAGGAACAAATTATGAGGTGGCTGTAACTCGTGGAACTATCTTATAAAGAACAATTGTTTACATCTTTATTGTATAATTATAAGAAATATGGATTACTTTACTCTTATATTCTCCTTATTGTAACCTTTCACTTGGCGCATGGACCATTGTTGTATGATTTACTTTTCTCAGGTTAATGTTAATTATTTAAAAACTTATCAGTTGGTTCCCTTTTATCTATGGTGTAGTAATGTACAAGTCACTAATGCTTCACTACACCAAAATACCGATCGCTTAAACTTGAAGCCTTTCATACATTACGTTGACAATAACTTGATATGTCAAAATCTCATGACAGTAATATCAAATTCATCTGAACAATATAGTCAAGTTATGTGTGTTAAATCTACAGATTGTTAATGAAATTAAAAAAATGATGTTAGTAGGGAATAATATTCTGTTTGATTGCTTGTGAGTAGGGGCAAAGCTGCTAAGCTAAGTATATTAAAGAATTATTTGACTCTACAACGCGTAGACAACTTCACTTACCTTGGAAGTCTGATCAGCCCTAATGGGTTGGTGTCTGGCGAAATCTCAGCACGGATTCGAAGAGCTCGTTTGGCTTTTGTCAACTTACGTTACATATAGCGAAGGTGAGATATCCGTCTATTAATTGAGGGACGAGTATACTGCGCGGCAGTTTGTTCTGTTTTAATTTACGGCTGCGAATCGTGGCCATTAAGAGTTGAAAATACTCGGAGGTTACTAGTATTTGACCACAGATGCATTAGAAATATTGCTGGCATCTGATGGGATCACCGGGTAAGTAATAGGTTAGACGCTAGGATATTAGGAAATGATGGTAAATCGGTTGATGAAGTTGTGAATCGTCATCGACTGAGATGGTTGGGCCATGTGTTGCGTATGCTTGAACACAGATTACTACGACGCGCAATACTGACTGGTGTTGGGGATCGTTGGAAAAATATTAGGGGTGGCCAAACCGAAACGTGGCATCAGTGCCTGAAGTCACTAACTTCTAGTCTGAGCCATGTTGGTAGACGCAGACTACTTGGTTGGGGTCCGCGTGACTATCGTAACCAATGGTTGGAGGCTGTATGTGACATGGTTCAGAATCGATCGCAATGGTGTAGGTGTATACATACTTTGTCTTCTTTTAAACTAAGAGATTAAAATCACTTCATGTCCTTCTTTCTATGAACTAATTCTTTCTTCCTGTACTATATCCTTATTGCAATCTTTCTTTTATATATTACCACCTCTGAATTAACTACTTCTATGAATTCGGTGTTGATCTTGTTGTGCTAATGAGGTATGACAACTTGGACCGATGTATCTGTGTGCCTAATCCTACGTTGTAACTGACTTACTTACTGAAATATAACTTGACCGAATTTAGCATAATTATAATTCACATTATATAATTAGGATTCAAATAGTTATTTATTCAGAGTACACCAACAGGAAGCTAGATGTGGCTAAAACAAGACATGGGATCAGTTCATAAAATCACTTACTGTTTGACTAAGCCTTATTAATAGATACAGATTGAAGAAGTGACTTACACTAAGTCACGAAACGTCAGAAAATCTAATTTTCTACTCATTGGGATATTACAAATATATTATTTTTATTTATAACAATCAACCCAATGCTCAATTCAGTCGAAATTATCAAATCAAACCTTGGTAATGTTGGGATATTCAGGAAAAATTGGCGACGGGGTAGAGAAAATTTTGAACCCTCTAATTGGACGAGATTCAGCATAATTATTTTGACCAATCAGTATCCAGATTTGGCATCGGCGTCCTTGGGAATCATTGGTTGTTAATCCATCACAGTATTTCTCATTACCCTGCTGACTCAGAAAATGACTAGCCTTCCCGATCAATTGCAGCTACTACTAAATCGCCAGCAACAGCGTGTTTTTGACTATTTGCGAACGCGAATGCTAGATCTCCCATGTTTCGGAGATGTGAAAGAAACTGATGAATTCATTTCTCACTTACAAACTGAACTCGAGAATGACTGCAGGACATATGAAAATAAAAACAAAAGCCTCTATGAATCCCTTATGATCAGTAATGCAAATGAGGCAGTCGCTCATAATCCGTCCAGCGATCCAGAAGTGCCCAATTCAGAAGCATGCCCTGTTGTGGGTTCAAATCCCACTGTGCCTGAAACATGTGAGGTATCCAGCTTACAAGAAGAACCTCTCGTGCCAGAAAATGTTTCCCGTGCATCAAATAATGGTCAGAAATCAAATGCAAATTTCGAAGATGCTGTCTATTTTAGTGACCTATTATCCAGTGATGGAATTCTGGAGAGGTCTGAAGAATATGTTGCACCAAAATCAAACCTTAATGACCTCATGTCTGGTGTCGCTAATCCTCATCATCTAGTCAGTTTTAGTGAACCCTCTACTCAATGCGCGAAATATGCTTTAAATAGAGTCAGACTAACTGTTACTTGGGTATATGAGGACCCAACGTTATTTCGCGGGGGAGGACGGACGCAGAAAATTTTA